CAGTAAAAGAATGAAAGTCCGAGGGAGATGAAATTGTCTGAGACAAAACTACATCATCAGCATACTTTTGGATGTGCGCAGGGAGTGGGACCGAAAGATCACTAATAAAGGCAGAAAAAAGATATGGAGATAGAACAGTACCTTGAAGAAACTGTGATATTTCATTGAACTTTTATCTGTCATGGTATTTCAGTGAGGAGGAGAAAATCGGTTAACGTAAGCTAATAATAGCGTAACGGACACCATCGAAACCCGTATTGAAGCGGCGATCAAGGATTGCAAAACGTTTCAGGGATGGATGTAAGTAGGAGATTAAGAGTCGGAATAGCAAAAATCTTTCTGAAAAACGGCCTTTTTCTTTGAGAAAACGAAATCAACCAATATGAGTGCTCAGGCGACAAAGTTCATGGTTCACCCCGACCCCGGAACATTCGAATAACTCTTATCGCGCAGAGTTTCCCCCTTGAATTGTACCGCAATCATACAACTTTCGTGCTGTTCCTTTTAGCTTTGGATTTGGAAGATTGGCAACTGAAGAGTTGCAATTTTTGACGTTAACAGTTGATTTAGGATGGAACTCGGATTGCAACTGCTATGGTATCTCTCAACGGTAACCAAACTGTCCTTATTTCTATGACCATACATTTAAAGTAATAGAAGCAATATGAACAAAGTCCTCAAAAACACTGAACAAAAGCAGTCGGAAGCAAAGTATACTTACTCACACATCTGCAGCAAATACTTCCTTATAGTCAACTACAATCACACACTGAAACACGCAAATGAACAGATATTTGGTAAACTGCAAATGAGTGAACGTGTAACGTTTGGCAACCGCGCCAGTAATATTCTGCCGTGAGTGCTTCTATCTCACTGGACCTTTTCGGTTCATGGCGTTTTGTTTGCGTTACCTTGCAGGTTTAGCTTCAACCCCAACCCACGGAAGACTTGCCTGCTAGTGTTTCCTTGACAACCCGTGTCCCGCATCCCTATCATCATTCGTCGCCCGCAAAGCCTCGTAACATCTCCCGCTGTGAGAATACAAACCGAGGGACATCCTATCACGCATATCCGTTCACTTCGCTGCGCTGCAAGAGCCCGGAGTACGTTCGTATTAAAAATGCAACCGGATTCCGAAACACTCAATGCGGTTCGCGTCGAAGCGCAAGTTTGGGAAACAAACTAAGTTGTGGTTATGCAATTTTCGGCTGAGGCTCCGCATCTGAAGAGAGAGCGCTGGGATAGGAGACAGTAAATCTAAAGCTAGGCCTCTCCATAGTTCACTTTCTTCTACGTCCAAGGAAAATGTGCCACTGAGTCCCAACGAAAACCATTTTGGGGTAATCATTAAACATCTTAGTTGAAAACTGATTACTTGTTACAGCTTTTTATGGTCCAAAGGCTCCCGCTTCCACTTTCGTTAACAATGTTATGACAACTCAAACCAGTTATTAGTATACACACACAAATATATACAGCAAATAACCGTATATATATTCTAATCACCATCGGAAATTCGAAACTTCGCAATGCATCAAACAAAGACACTATTACAAAACACAGGTCGATGTAGTTAGAAAACAACACATTACAGTCGCCCAATACAAGCCTGGAGACAAGGATGTGGACAAATTCTACATTACGTAATTTCGGGCCCGAAACTACCCCTTAGATAACCCCATCCCTCCCACCCACCCAGATGAATAGAGGAGGAGAGTGTAGGACTAAAGTGGAAAGCACAGCCATGGAAATGTGGGACCATTTAATGGCAAAAACTGACTGTCTTTTTGGGTTCGGTAGTTACGGGGAAGAGAAGAGAGAAATAGGGTGATGAGGTGAGGAGGAATAGGGTATACTTTCTGGTCCGGTCTTGTATTTAAGTTATGTTCATTCACAAATCTAATGAGATTTGACCATTTTAGATGTTCAATCCACTATACGACTGGCTTGACTCACCCAATCTGGCCGATACACCAATAGCACAAAGCAGCATGTCGGAGCATGCCGTTGTTGACGAGCCGTCATCTAGTCTGACGGACGACATTCTGGACGTGTCGGAACAGGTTGAGATGGAGGTAAGCGTGTTTCATTCGTGTTTACGGCAGTCCAAATTGTTGACCTTTGTTTTTAAAGGACCAATCAGTGGGCCTGACGCCCACTCAAGGTTAAATTTTCTAGCCGTGGACCACGGTGATCATCACCATATCATTTTTCGTTCGGATGAGCGGAATAAGGTGCGCTCTGTCTCTAATCTCCTGCTAGCCTTTCGTGCCGACCCGGACGTGGTCATTAGTGTTCAGACGTCTGTTCAACCTGTGGTAAATTGGAACCGCTTTGCGGCCTATCTCGTTCGTAACGCCTTTGTAAATGTTCAATGCTTCGGGAGAAAAGTAGCCCAACTGGCCTGGGAGCTCCAGAACGTAACCCGAGAAGAAAACGGTTGTGCTAATATTAGTCGTGTTCTTCGCTCCTCATCTCAAAAGTTTGAGAGTGTGAAACGAAAGAATCGAATCGATTATTTACCGGATCTCGTGGAAGAACATGACGCGAGGTCGTTGTTGGAGTTGAAAAACTCGTTGACGTTTGCTGATCGAAAGAGTCTGTATTCAGAAATTGGAAACCAATGGAAAGAAGCGGCAGAGTTGTGCATCGAGGCGTATTGTGAATCTTTACGACAGAAACAACAAACAACCCGATTTGAGACGTATATACCGGAGAATAATCACACCAGGATATGCACATATCCCGAGGATACGACGGCAGGAATGCTGTGGCTGGACACTTTGCTCACTGTGAACAACATTGAGAAACACGACTTTTTGACAAACTTGTCAAGCATTATGAACAAGGGAGAAACTCGGAGGAACGCCTTCGTATTACAGGGACCCAAAACCACGGGTAAGTCACCTTGATATCACGTACACTTTTAGGCAAATCTCTGTTTTTGTCACTCATCGTCGATAATTATGTATACGGCACGGTTCAAAAGAGTGGTGATCACTCACAATTCTTTCTCATGAATTTATTGAATAAAGCTGTGGCGTTGATGGAGGAACCGCGTATAACCCCAGGGACTGTCAATGACGTCAAGGAATTATTGGATGGAAAACCCTTTGGTGTGCACGTAAACATTCCAAGAATGAGCGGTTATACCGTCTCCCAGTTTTGAATTCCTCCAACACAGACATTGTCATGTATTGCTTATCGGAGGACGCCAAGGCCATTCGTGCCCGGTGCTATATTTATAATCTGTCTGTTAGCATTCCATCTGTCAACCTCCCGGAGCCCCCTGTAAATTATGTCCTTGTTTTTCAAGGACTGGTATAACCAATGTCTAAGCAGCCCGCGATTTGTATACAAACGTTTGGTTTTCACAACCTGTTCATTCTTACTATGGCACAGACAATTGAGGACTGGTTTAACGCACTGGATGCTACGGATAGGGCCTGGTTCCAGGAGTTCTCTGAAATTGTAAATTGGAATCCTGTGAGGCGTGTGTTTCCCTTGGCGGGACAGTTATGGCTTACCGCTGGCCGCAGTCTGCGTGAGGTGTTATCCAATCCCATGTTTGTGCCCTTGTTAGAGAATTTGAAGCACGTGTTTTTCATATACCGCATGTGGAAGCGATTGGACAATCGAGAGGATACGCAATTCCTTAATCAGATACTGAACGACTACTATCAGCATTACTATGACGCTGCGAGTCGAACACTACGTGAACCACTCCCGGATATCGAGGAACGCGAGCAGCTGGTCCCACACATATATAAGGAACGTAAAAAAAAAACAGAGGATCAGTTCGCGTCGTCCGACGCCACGTACGGACTATCCATCAACCAACAACACCAAGGTACATCCTCATCCGTATCCGCACAACAGATACCAGACAAACAAACGGTGATCGCACAACAGCGGGTCTTGTAATAGTGTACTTTGAACAGATCAAATGCCTTTGTGATGGATCCACCGGCAGTAGTGTTTTCCTCAGGGTCGTCATCTGCGTTTCCCGAGTCCAGTCTTTGTCGTTTTGACATGTCCTCCGGAGGATTGGTAGCATGCTGTATCTGGGTATCACCCTGTTGTGCGACTACGGTTTGTTTATCTGGAGTCCGTTGTGCGGATACGTCACCAACAACGGAAACAGCACCTTGGTGTTGTTGGTCAACCGGCTCTCTCGGAGATGGATAGTCCGTACGTGACGACGGACGACGCGAGCTGATCCTCTGTTGCCTTTTACGTTCCTTATATATGTGTCGGACCAGCTGCTCTCGTTCCTCAACATCGGGTAGTGGCTCACGTGGTGTTCCACTGGTGAGGTCATAGTAGTGCCTGTAGTAATCGTTGAGAATGTGAATCAGGATTTGAATATCCTCGCGATTGTCCAATCGCTTCCACGTGCGGTAGATGAAAAATACATGCTTCAGGTTGTCGATGAGCGGCACAAACATTGGATTCGACAACACCTCACTGAGACTACGGTCAGCGGTAATCCATAACTGTCCTGCCAAACAAAATGCATGCCTCACTGGATTCCAATTTACAAGTTCAGAAAACTCTTGAAACCAGGCCCTATCGGTAGCATCCAGAGCGTTAAACCAGTCCAAAATGGTCTGTGCCATAGTCAGAATGAGGAGATATAAGAAAACATTGCTTTATATACCATTCAAAGGCTAGCTAACCATTGGTTATACCAGTCCTTGAAAAAACATGGACATAATTTACATGGGGGCTCAGGCAGATTCGGTGAGGTTATAAATGTAACAACGAGCCCGAATCGCCTTGGCGTCTTCAGTCAAGCAGTACATTGCAATGTCTGTGTTTGAAGAAATTAACACGGGGAGTCGGTATAACCGCTCGTCTTTGGAATGTTTTACGTGAACGTCAAAGGGTTTTTGACCCAAAAGTTCCTTGAAATCGTTGACAGTGCCGGGGGTAATTCGTGGCTCTTCCATTAATGCCACGACTTTATTTAGCAAATTCATGAGAAAGAATTGGGAGTGATCTCCGCTCCTTTGTACAGTCCCATAAATGTAATTGTCAACAATCAGTGACAAAAATAGAGATTTCCCTGGAACAGTGAATATAGAATCAAGTGACTTACCCGTTGTTGTGGGTCCCTGCAGCACGAAGGCGTTGCGCCTTGTTTCGCCCTTGTTCATGATGCTCGATAAATTTGTCAAGAAATCGTGTTTCTCAATATGATT